ACAATTTATTACAGTAACATTTGTTTTGTGCAACCTTTTTACAACAAGAAGGCACTGATCATCGCCCATCCTCAAACGTCGTTGAAGTTTAGCGTCTTGCTCATGGCCACTAGTTCCTAGATTTAACACTTTTGAACTTCAATTTCAGACAGCTGAAACTGAAGTGCTGACTGATGGGAGGTCTTCAGGGACTTTTCATAGGATTTACAGGAAAGTTCTTTGTGCGTCCACCAATTTCTCAGTAGCTGCTAAGTATTGTGACACATTAATTACCACCTGCTGAAATAATTTATGAATTAATGTAAAAAAAAAAAAACCCTTCAAATATTGCTAACGGGAAATGGTCTAACTATGGAAATCCCACTTCCACTTAGGCAATAAAACTGTAATTATGACCACCAACTTTAAAAGTTTTAGCAATATCCTGTTATGAGAGAAAGCAATAAAACTGCTTTATGAGACCTCACTGCTGGTAATGTCAGAGTTCCCCGTTTCAAAGTGTCATGTTTGAAGAAAACGGCACGCTGGCTAAATCTAGAGTGCAACTCTTTGTGCGTCTGTAGGTTATCTGTCTTACAACTTGTTCTCATAAATTCAAATTTCCACCGCAAATGTCAAAACAACAATGGCTTTCCCTGTCCGGGCTAATGGCGTTAGCCCAAACCACGGATATTCTCCATGTGCACGCAATTATTATTATTATTTTTTTAAGGTCACATACATCTATAGCTCATAAAATAAAAAGGGAAAAACAACAAGAGGCCGTCTGCACAATGAGGCCAGATGACAGAGACCCAAGCAAAGGCTGAACAAAGAAACAGCACGTCAGCACATTAGCCAGTCAGAAGACAACTTACAACGAAAACAGTGTTGTATTATTCTAAACGATGTGGGGGGGCGCAAATTAGCCATTTTGCTCGTTCTGAGCTCGAACCTGCTTAGGCTTCGGCTGATTTTACAGTAACTACCACTGTCTTGTGGTCTACAATAACCACACAATCGGTGCTTTCATTGGGCCTGAATAAAAGTAATGACCTCACTGCTCCTGACTGGACCACCCTTAAACGAAAACTCAGATGAAAAAACAAAAAACAAAAAAAAAAAACAAATCAAAGTGTCATTTCGTGGCTGAGTGTGAAATGGATCTCTCCGTCAGGTGCCGTTTCCAGACTTTCCGTGCGGTGCCGAAACGCTGTTTTCACATCGATGGTGGGAGTGAACGTGCTGATGTTAATAAGTGATCCAGGAAATCCACAGGAGTAATGTCACAGCTTTTAACAAGCAGAATTACATACATACTGTGGGCAGAGGTTTCTGCTCTGCGTAGCGTCGCGAGTGACCTCAACCTGCAAACACTGCAGCGTTTTTCTCCTTCACGAGCAGTTTTTTTTCCCCTTCTTCTTTTCCATTTATTTTCTGCACACATCAAGTTATCTTCCACAGCCATTTTTTTTTTCATAACAAATAAAACTGCACTGAAATCAAAATGGATCTCATCCATCTCTGTCTCAGTGGCTCTTATTAATAACCATGGAAAGGCAGAGAGGTTTGAGAGTAAGAATGTAAGTCTACATGAGGGAACGTGTGCTTGACCGAGATTAATTGTGGGACAAACTGTAATGCTTATAATATTGCTTGTAGCTTTATTGTGCTTGCAGGATAGTATTTGCTGAGCAGAGGACAAGTAGAAGGCACCCAGCACCAAATGACTCTCTCCCTCTTCTCTGGTGCTGGCTCAGCAGGGTTAGAGTTTGCCTCAATCGGCTCCCTGATTGCATTGGCCTTCTGTCTACCAAGCCATTGATTCCCATGCTCCAGCCAAGCACTTTTCTGTTCGCCTGGCTCTCCTCTCAATGCCTACATCCCAAACCGCCTCAATACTAGCATTACCCTGCTGTTATCTGTATTACTGCTGAGGTCAACTGGTTTACGGTGAAAGCAAAAGATGTGTGGTTTCTTGACTTGCGTCCTGCTTAAAAGTTGAGCAGAGGTTGGCTTGAATAATCCCAAAGGTCATAAGGTGCTGTTTCATCATTCTTCTCAAGACATTTATCATTTTGACTCGAACTCAATTACTGGTACTTGAAGTCAAATGGACCAACACTTTGCAAAGGTTGCAGATTTGAGGGGCAAGACGCATAACACTTCATTATAATATTCCATATGTCCTTTCAAGGGAAACATTTAGCTGCTGTACAGCTATAGTTATGATCAAAAAAGATTATAACTTGGTCTATCTGTTGCTTCAGCACATTGTCAAAATCATCCAAAGTGAACCTCCTATGAAACTGATAGGATATTCCATGCGAGCTCTCTATGGGTGGGGGAGAACACAAAGGGCACATTGATGGCATTCCAGCTTCCCATATTAAAAGCGGGACTTTGATAAAAAATCTGCCTTTCTGTACAATCAACATATGTCAAGAGTGTAATGCATGCCTCCTAATAACATGGTGAGATTTGATCTGCCTCCGATCGGAGTAACCTTGCATTTGCACCGTCGCAATGTTCATGTCGAGCCACAAGGTGTGTTTCATATTGGACAGAAACACGAAACCGGACGCAGAGGTGGGAACATTCGCAGACACTAAATATTCTCTAACAAAAACACAAAAGCGTCTAGGTCAGACCTTTGAAGATTAGAAACCCAAGGAGACGGTCTATTAATATTCTTTGACCAATTCAGAAATACCTTGTCTCCTTTCCCGCCTCTCCTGCAGACAAGGATATCTTTTTCACTTGTATGATTTGAGAGGGGAGCACTTTAAAGACTTTTGGGAAGTAGAATAAGTTATTTGATGACAGTAAGTCTATTCAAATGTTAAGAATATCTGTTAACGCTTTAAGGACCAGGCAAGACCTTTAGAATTAAGTAGCCCAGTCTGTAGAGTCTTACAGCTACCTACACACATTGACTTGGGAAATCATTAATACTCCAAGAACTTTTTCAAAATCATATAACAACCAGTACAACTATATTTAACACCAACAAAAACAAAATCTAAAAATTGTGGCAACTATTTACCTTGAGCCCCTCATACTCTAATATTTCTTAATAAAACCCAGTCCAATAAATGGCCTTTGGAAGTCAAATCAAATTTAGAAGTAAAAATACAGCTGATCTGTAAAGGACTAAGAGATTTGTTACAGAAAATTTGTGACAAACAGCATCATCAAGATAAAGGAACAAATTGGACAGGTCAATTTAAATTTCAAAGCAGGGTTCAGCTACAAAATATCACAAGCTTTTACAGTCTGATAGGTCACTGTACATCAACCACAAGAACACAACAATCCCACCTGTGGACGAATGCTTTCTGTCCACAGGGACTGAGAAGATACTCAGGATTGATGGAAAGATGGAGGGCTGCAGGGAAATTTAGAGAAACAAATTTTTAAGATCCTCCGAAAGACATGAGACTGGGGCAGAGGATCACATTCCAGCAGGTTTCAGTGAAAGCATATTCAGATGTCAGAATGGCAAGTCAAAGTCCAGGCCTAAATCTAATTGAGAATTTGTGGAATGGTTTGAAAATGGCTGAATCAACTTATACTTTTTTTTGACAGAACAATAAGCAAAAGTACAGTTTCAATATATGTGGACCTGAAAAGACTTCCTGATTTAAAGGAAGTTTCATTTTTATAAACCCCCCACTCCCAAAAATGTATATACATATTAAGTGTTGACGCAGCAAGACAACACATACCTACAGTTCCCGTCTTAAGCTTCATGAAAATATATACAGAGTATTTTAGTGTAACCAATACACTGGCATCTTCTATGGTAACAGAGATAGACAGAAACAAATATGAAAACCGCACTGACAAAGCACAGGCTGCACAAGTCAACCTAAAGAATTGCCCCTAATTTTTACACTCGCATAAGGCACGGTTCTTTAATCAAAAATCAATAGTGCAATTTAATTCTTAGATAACTCAATCCTCTGAAACTAATTCCTTCATTTCCTCTCAGCTCGTCTTCGATTGTCCAACCAAAACGCTGAAGCCAAAGCTTCTTGGTATGGAGCTCATTGTTCTGAAGCCAGTCAATTCCAGTCCTCGGACCAGTCTACCACAAAGTTAATAGTTATTCAACTAGCCAACTCCAAACACTAAAATTCAGAAGTTGTTTGAACCATAATCCCTCTTACAAAGAGATGCTTCTTATTCATGACTTAATCGATCAAGGTCCTGAGACCTGCAGGCCAATCAATATGATTACAGAGCTGTTAAGAATCGGTACACACTTGCAGACTCTTAATAAACAAATGTGCTGACTAGACGGCTTGAAAGTGTACATGTAAGCCGTCAGTCATCGACATAGTCCTGAAGTAACATCCGGGGGGATTTAACAGCAAGCTAATTAGGAGGAACTGGTCTTATTTGTTCACCTTTACTAAGGATTACGTTAAAACATTAATTGTCATGTTACTTTGTTCTTACTGCACTCTTGGTCTCTTTAGTGATCTTGTAATTTTCCATCAAACATGTAGAGCAAGTTAGCATTAGGCAACAATGGAGACAGAGACCAATGCACCATAATATAATATTTTCACATGTTCACATGTAAGCACTTTCGGACAGGGACAGATTATTAAAGATGAACTTTACTGGTTAAGCCAATTAAGGTGGGAATGGACTCATTTTTTTTTTATATAGCCAAGCGCTCATGCAAGTTGCAACAAATTTCAAACTTGGGTCATTAAATGAATAACGCAGACTCTGAAAAGACCAAGAAAAAAAATATATGTGAATGTAACAACTAGCCTTTTCATAAGCCACATTGGACACACTCCTGACACCTCTTTGAGTTCTGAATAAAAAGGTGTCGGAAATAATCCTCAGATACTTTGGTCCGCAATAGAAAGCTAGGTATAGTTAGCAACAAGACTTCTGTCCAACAAACAAGTCTGTCTAACAACCATGTCACATTTGCTCCCCTATTTCATCTGTTCTGATGCTCAGCATGAACTTTAAAAAAATGCCTTAATGCATTGAGTTGTAACCATGTGATTGGCTAACTTTCTATTTTGGTTCACATGCAACTGAATAGGTGCACCTAATAAAGAGGCAAGTGAGTGCAAAATAAAATAAAAATAGAAGGTTCATTTTAAAACAGGTAAACATGAAATCAAGAAAGACAATTAACAGCATCACTGTTTCAAAGTGTTTATCAGCTGAAGTTTCCAAATCCTTATTTTCTCAGCTGGAATCTCATTGTGGGCTTTTACCGATTCAGTGCCAGGAAGGAATTTGAAGAGAAGAACTCGGCATCCGGTTGGAGTTAGCATGTTGTTTCTGTTTTGTGTTACATCTGCGGTCTGATCCAGGACTGAGGTAAGTGTGAGCTGATAGGTACCAACAACTGGTATGTGTGCTCATTACTATTGCTTGGAACATGTATCTTGTCTGGACAAGCATGAAAGGGGGGTTTGTAAGGTAGAAGACTGGGGGGGAAAAAAAGGAGAAAAGGAAGGTCAATCAGGGAAAAATTGACAGAGGAAAAAGGTTAGAGTCAGAAGTTAAATGAGAGAAGGGCAAGATCCAGCTGAAAGAGATAAAGGCCTTTCAAAGCAATGTCTGGATAAAATGCTTGGCACTTCAGTTAAAGAGCTAACGTCTCCCTTTATATTCACATAATCTTTTTTAAAAAGTCAACACGTCTGTACTAACTGCTGTGATGCTTCATAAAAACAAAAGCTTATCCTAAAGACCACTCGATAGTGAAAGAAGCGAAGCTCAGGTACGTTCACTCCGCAAGAATTTCTCTTCTCAAACAACTCTTTACCGTTTGAGAGTGCTTGGCACAGACTCCACTCCTTTTATTTCTTTGTTTGCTCTTGGCCGCCTCGTCTTGTTTTCATGAACTGGCCCTTTAATCCTTTCTAACCGCACTTCATGCAAACAACATGGGGCACTGACGTATACGCTGGACAATTGCACAAACACAAACATGTCCTAACATTTACAGCGGTGATTGAAGCCGAGGCCTGAAACCTAAGGAGGGTTGGAACGAGCCCGTTTTCCCAAGAGCATGCAGAGTGCACACGTGTGTGTATCTGAACAGTGGCCATGTGTGATTAGAGGCATGTTCTGGGCATTGTTCTTGGCATTTGGAAGCATCACATCTGATATCACTTCCATACTGTAACAATAAACCACGTCAGCCCCCTTTCAAAGAGTGGACAGAGAGTTCTGGACAACGACACCCGTATCTGAAATTCGAGACGTCGAGCTGAGGGGATCTTTTTTATTTTTTATTTTTTTTCTCCGATACGAACAAAAACGTCGACGAATTTACTTGCTACAAAGGGTCGTCCTTTAAAAGACTTCACAGCCAAGAAGGGTTCATACGAGCCGGTTTAAAATGCGTTGCGACGTCTGAAAAGAGGTGGAAAAATAAGCTACTCAAATGAGTCATGAAAGAGAACAACAACTGACACACTTGGTGAGTTGAACTGTAGAATTAGTCACGGACACGGTCGGAGGACCCACGAAAACAGAAATCATCGCTCTCAAACGCACGCAAACCATCCGTCCAAAACGCCACTGGTGACATAAGTGCCGGTGTGAGTGATCATTAAGTGACTGTGGCAGGTTGTTCTTGCCCAGGCTGCCCTCGCTGCATCTGTTCTCTATAGAGCCTCATTAGTGGAATTCCTTTGAGAGATGATGGGCAGATTGGGACGAGGGTCCCAGACTTCTGCTGTCTGTGAATGTGACAGAGCTCATAACATTCAGGTCTGGACAAGATGAAGAGGAAACCTGAAGGAAATGCTCTGATAGGAACCCCTGACCTCTTAGCTAATGAACTAATGAGCCCGACTATGGGGAGATAAAAGGCAAATCAGAATTTCTTTCTTTTCTTTTTTTAACTGGAAAGTATTTTTAAATACAGGTTAAATCTGATATTCTCTATGAAAAACAATCTCAGTTTCCTCACTCACTGACAATAAATCAGACTGAAGTTTTTGCAAACATTTCCTTTGCAGAATTGCCTTTCAAACTGTACAACCGTTTAAACTGTGTAAACTTTTTTTTGGTGTCCTTCCACAAGCTTTCTGCAGTAGTTTGCTGAACATTTGGCCAGTTATTTCTCAACTGTTTTAGATTTTGTTGGATACCAAGCAATACCAAACATTTCTAGTGGCGCAAGAGGAAATATTAAACTTAAGGATGATTGATGTAAAAGTCAGTCTCAATGGCTTTGGTTAATTTTGGTCAGTCGCAATGCATCTTTCAGTATTTTTTTTTTTTTTTAAAGCTGTGTACGGCAGCCGGTGGCAGAAGCTGCTCCGCTACCCCAATCTATAATGTCTAGATTTTGTTTACTTCAAGTTCATTTCGGTTGCATGTCTGCATGGAAACAGAAAATACAGCAATTTGATTCAAAAATATTCTAATTTATAAAAAGAAAACTTTGCCAAAGAATGTTCAGCCCACAAAGTCACGAAGCTTCATGAAATGATCTTATTTGGAAAAAAAAAAAATCAACAAATTCCACTGGATTTCTGTTGCGCCAAAAATCCTGTGATCTCAAATATCAGAGGAAAAAGAATAAAACTTGTCCTTCTCCCACAGTTTCTATTCCATTTTCCCCCCCCATATGTTCATCCAATTCATCTCAGTCAGTTTTAGACCACTGAATCCTTTCCCGTCACCAACGTTCCTCTGCTTGATGGCGTTCACGTAATCAGTTTGAGTCAGAGATAAATTTTCATAAACAATGAGTGACATCTCCCAGCTGGCTTTGATTTTTCTAGCTGTCTTAGCAGGTCAGGCACTTCTTACACCGGATCACAAAACCAGAACATGATACCTTGTAAATCCCAGTGGACCGCTGGGGGTTGAACACTCTCGTCCTTATATTATGCACTCAAACACACACAAAGGTACACGCATGAACATTTAACAGAAGTGAAACTAACGGTATGCATGTGTATTGATATGGTGGGAAAGCAGACATTTCCCTAGAACAATCTTTAATTATTACCAAATATGTATTTTTATTTTTATTTTTTTAATCTTTGATTAAAAAAGCTGCAGTGGGGTTGAAGATGTCAGGGTATGTTCCTGCTACAAATTGTGTGAAACACCCCCCACCCACCCCCAAAGTTCCACTATGACAACTGGATTGAAAAGGTGCCAGCGACAGAGACTCCCATCACTGGTGACGAGTGAAAAAGCGGCTGAATTGCAACAAAAATGTTACAGTTTCACTGAAAACCAGCATTGCTTTGTCCTCGAGTCACTCTCGGTCATCTGCTATGTTAATTGATTAGAATATCACGCACAGGAGGATATTCATTTCCAACCAGAACTAGCGTGAAGTGGCAGCACTTGTGAGCGATTGTAGTTATCACACTAATTCGTACTCAAGACACTCAAGGAGAATAGAGTAATTTGTATTTGTTCAAAGAAGTCAGCGATTTGATTGGAGTGAAAGTGGAACTGGAATGGATAAAAGCGTGTTGAATCGTCCATTATATGCGGAGAATGAGGTATTTCTGAAGCTCATCTGTTTAAGATGCTTGTAATTTGAGGAGACCCCAGTTTGATCCCTGCTGGTGTCACCACATTTGTTGAAGTTTATACCCCAACTTTAGCTTTTAGATGTCTACAAACAAATTGTCCATGTGGATATTGTTCAGACACCTTCTAATTAACACCCAGTCAGTTTCCATGTAAAACGAGTCCAGATACCAACATAATTGTCATTCTTTCCAAAATGGAAACATCTTTTTGTAAAACACTGCCACATTAGCATTATTTCTTTATGTTCAGCTTGGCGTGAATGATGCGTCATGTATGGTACAATTTGTGTATTGTTCTCTTTTCATTTTCATCTCCGTATTGCACTTAAACCGATTGCTATTCGTCTCCCTAATTTGCTACATTTAAAACAGAAATCTCTGGAATTAATCCAGGATTACAGGCACAAGTGTGGAAAAATATAAAACTTTTACGCAGGGATATAAATTGTATCTAAAGAGCAACATAAGTTTTAATTAAGGACACATTGGCATTTTTTGTTACCTTCCAACTATTGAAAAATCTTAAGCAAGTTTTCCAATAAAAGTCTAATACTTTTACATGATGAATAATTGGCAGTGATATATGTATATTTTTTTATTGCGAGCCCCAGTCAAGACTGCTGCATGGAAAACGTGTCTCACCTTTGCTTTTTGTCAAAATACAAAGCCATTTATTGATTTTGCCATAGCAAACTATTTCCCCAAGTGAATTACTCAAAACACACAGTTAACCATTGGCAGGTACTGCAAAATCTAGCTGGATTTAATAAAATGTGACTGCCGACTTTAAAACAGGCCTCAACTATGAAGTTTAGCTCTCCCCACCTATTCCCATAAGACTACAAATATCCATGTAAATATATCGGATTTGTTTAAATCTTCAGCTCGCAGTTCACGCAGTTGCTTAGACCTCACAGATGCCACGTTACATAGCAAGAAATAACATAAATAAATAGAAATAGAAAACAGCAGTTTTGTTTTACCATTTTATTGTCCTTCCATTATGGCCGTATTAAAATTGTCCCACTTCTCATTGCTTTAAGAGTTTCATTCAAATATCTCAGTGTCAGCTTGCTGGGGAATTGCATCCAGATGTGGCATCGGTCTGGTGTACAGTCCTTCAGACCGAAAGACACAGAATAGGTGGCTGAAGTTAAGGGGGACAAGAAAGAAATCACGTGGCTTTCGGCACGCTTCAACATCCACTGAGTAAACATAACCCTGTTTTGACCCGTAGTTGCCAACTTCCCCTTAGGGACTCCTGCAGGTCCATTAGACATGTTCAGATACCGCAGGCTTAACCTGCCCTTTTTCAAACTCAATAAGTGTCCCTCAGGAAGAGACGTTATACTGCTGTACAGCTACAACAAACTCCAACAAGGGTCTCCAATGGTAAAATGCAAACAATTTGGACCTCCAGCAAAGAATGAGGCTCTCTTGAAGTAAAACAAATCGAGCCTTAAATTGGGTTTTGATTTTTGTCTCCTTAACAATATCCAGCTCTCACACTGTGGGGTCATGGAATGATTCCCAGAAGATGTTGCACTTGGCTTCTAAAAGGTTTCTTTTCAAATATCCACAGCAGAACCATGTCTGAAATCACCCAGACCTGTTGGACGTGTGGGGGCATTTTGCTACTATGGTTAGTTGGCTACATTATAAAAAAAAAATAATAATAATAATAAAAAGTCTTAGCTGACCTCTTCTTTTTTCTGATTATTGTAAAACTAAACAGCCGAAGCAGTTTACTGTTAAACAGCCTGACCACAAAATAGATCATAGCATTGTGCTTTCTGATACCGCCCAAGGTTATAGGACCATATTGGGAATTTGTGATGAGTAATGTGATGACAAAATTTAGGCGTGCCCCATCATTCAGCCCTGAATTACCCCTTTTCGGAAAATACAGTACACACAGTACAACAACAACGACGCATAAATCCAAGATTTTAGGACAAATTAACCTCAAATCTCAGAACAAATCAGATTAAAAAAATACTGTTTTTCATAATGATCATGGTTTCTTTCAACCTACCTATCTGTCTATTCATTGTCTTCTGAATATGCAAGATTGGATCCCAACCGCCTTGGACTCATAGGATCTGACTTTCATTGCGCCAATCTCCAGTCAGGCGTGACCTGCAACAGTGCATGAGGAAAATCTTGCCATGAAGACACCTAAAGAGCCATAAAATCTGCAAATGATAAGAATAATGGTCTGAAGGGTCACATGTAGTTGAAATTCCCCACCCAAGTAATTTCTTTGGAGTCACTATCTAGGGTCTCCAGTTTGCCCTCAGAAGCTCATCCTCACATTTTCAGTCTGTAACCTAATTTTGTTTAAGAGGCAGCAGTCGCTCTGCAGGCACCATCAATCGCTTTACAACACCGGCAATCAAAACAGAATAAGGACTGCAGGCACTTATTTTTACATGCTGGAGAGTAATTATAGAATGTTTGAAACTCATTGACGTTCTCTCTGTGCCATGCATCAGATTCCTTGGTAAGATCTTATTGATTCCAGCTGTAATGGGGTCTATCCGTTGCCGCAACAAGGTTTATATTTATTCAATATCAAATTTAGAAAGACTATTTGCTGGAGATGGAAGATGGATTTACAAATTTCACCCTTTTTGCTCTCATCAATTGGTAGATCATTTCCTTGTATCACATCCGCTTTGATATAAAAAATATTTTGTAGAATTTAGAAGTAGGAAATAGAGGTCTTTGGTGACGATGAATTAATCCATTGAGGTTTGTTTGAAGTTGAAACGGTCATGAGAGTAAACAAATTGCCGCAGATTTCAATAAAACAAAGGCACCAGGTACTAGCTGTAAAGTCGGACTAACATTTGAAACTCATGAAACCTCTCCAGAGAAGCAAAAGAAAACCGAACAAATGTATTATTTCTGGGTAAAATGTAATTTCCATTTTATTTTCTATCAAACAAACCAGCTTTCTTTTTTTTAAATCGTGACAATAAGATGAAATGCCAAATTAATTGAGAAAATAACCTGACGCTGAAACTGTTGTGATGTAGCTATATTTACCATTTAACCATGTTATGAGTCCATATATACATTTGGAGCGCGTAATCTCGCTTTTAGTCAGTTATTATTTTGTACATTTTCAAAACAGTGTCTCTGGCATTCAATCATTGCTTTGTGATTTTTAAAATAAAAAAAATAAAAAAATCAGCTTCAAATTTGTTTCTGCAAACATATATGTTGAGCATCACATAATATTTAAAGTAATCAAATATGCACTAGAAACCTGAAGTCACATTTTCCAGTTTAAATTTAGCAGCCACACGAATGTGTTAAAGGTCAACTTTTCATCTAATTATACATCAAGCATGAAATAATCACGATGTCCAAGTGATTTGGGTCTGGAATTAGATGAAAAACATCCTGACAAGAGGGAACCATCTGAGAATTAGACTCTTAGAAGTTCCATTGTTGTAAAAAGGAAAGTGTTTACTCTTTCCATGGCTCATCACTGACTGTGATTGGTTAATTACACACAGAGCAGGAAATCTACAATCGGCTGTCTCTGCCTCTGCAGATTTCACATAGCGGAGAAGTTATTCTCAGACCGCCACAAGATTATCTGGATTCTTGTCAAGGCCTTAAAATGAAAACCACAAGCATCTGAAGCACTTATGTCGGACTCTTGACTAATCAGACAGCAGGCTAGAAGAGTAGCCGGCCAGTTTCTCACAGGTACTTTTTCTCACAGGCACCACGGAGTGGGTTTGACTCATTCACAAGCAGCCGCTTACAGCACAATCAGACCATCTGCCAAGAAACATTCCAGTCACTGGTTTTCTGATTTCTAACCTACCCTTCTGCGCCCAAAATAATGTCTTTGTGCTCATTGTGGATTCCTCGCAAGTTTATACGGACCACTGTGTGACTGCTTGTGAATTATGCTGAGGGATGATAAAAAAAGGAACGACTGGTTTTTTAATAGTAGCTCTGCCCTCACATAAAAACATCCGCAAAAATGTTACGAGTACATTTTGGAAGTAGATATTTAGATAACTGCTAAGAAATAAATGCATGAAATAATTAATTTCATGTAATGCTAATAAATTTGATTTTTTTTTCTTCAAATATAAAGACCAAATGGCCTTTGCATTACTGGTTTTGATTTTTAAGAAAATGTTCAATCATGAAAATTAAGACGAAAATGTTTCTTAAATCAAACGCATTAATGTCACCACCATCTTTAATTTAATGGGACAGTTAATTATGAAGACAAATATTGTTGGCATTTATTAACTACACATTATTTAATGTGTTATAGAAGCGAGGCTGCAGAAACAGCCACATTTCACCCAGCTGTTGAGAGAAAACAGTTCAGTGTAAACAGTTAAGTCTGTTTTTTTATGAAAGAGTGGCGAGAAGGCCAAAGGAAAAAAAAAGTGCTATGAAAGACAGTAAGTAGTCGAGTAAATGTACAACCGAGACCACAACTGAATTTTTTGGCCTACATGCAAAGCGCTGTGTGTATAACTCTTAGTGGTGCTGTGGGGGATGCCGTTCTGTAGTTCAGACAGAAAAGATTCTTAGCGTTAATAGAAGGCTGAATGGGGCTACATAAATGAATAGCTATTAAAAACAAGAAATATTTTAATCTCTACCCTAAACGCACAGCTAGAGCTACATCAAATCATATAAAAGTGTTACTTCCAGTTAAAGTCCAGACCTAAATTCAATTCAGAACCTGCTCCAACCTGCTTTCATACTTTTGCAAGCCACAGTACATAACATGATTTTAAACTTTAAATGCTGCATGTGTTGTCAAAGGTAAGATAATTTTCCACAATTGGACTGAACTCAGTGTTGACCAACCCCTCAAGGTCTAAACTTTCAGCTGGGGTTGATAAAATGCCACGTAAAGAGTTCAAATGTACTGCACACAGGATATAAGAGGTGAAAAATTTTAATACTGAAATGGAAGAAGCAAACATCATCTGTGGGAGCAATTGAAACGGCTGGATATGGCTTCACTGTTTCCATTTCAGTATTAAGATTTATTCAGTAGGACTCTTGTTGTTGCTTTTTTTTAAGCTAGAATCATTAAACATACTGCAAAAAAAAAAAAAAAAAAAAACGGACCTCAAAACCAATACCCTTAATTGACTGACCACACACATCCCTGCCAGCTCCCCCAAATCTAGTAACAACCTGCACAATTAAAAGTAGTTTTGCAAGGAACAATGTGTAGCCACTCTCAGGGGCCACTGAAAATGCTTATCTCCAAATTACTTGCAGGGTTCATTGTAAATTGGAGCCCAAAGCCGACAGAGTGGTGGACTGCAAGATTCATGTCTCTTGGATAACATAGAGGTGATTCAAGCCCAGAAATGTATCGTCACGGTTCAGATGATCTCTCTGTGATCCTAACCGCTGACCCAGAAGAACGCAACACTGAAAAACACCAGGTATGTAGCCGCAGCTCTCGTTTCAGATTCCTCCGTTGTTTTTATTGCTGAACCACTGCCAGATGGAAATGGTCCAATTGGTTTCTTTGTCTTTTTCTATTTGAGGATTGATTTACACTGAATATTTCATTTATTTTCAGGGTGTGAACATCCCACTACCAACATTTAACAGTCCTAACGCTGACAGCATTTACAACTTGCAGGTCTATCGAGTCGTCCAAAGAAAATCTTTCCTAGCCTAATCTTAACAAGAGACTATGGCCTTAAAAACTGTTGTAGAAATCGAAACTGCATGACACGTCAACACCTGTGTCAGTGGCAAGTCAGCAGGTGTTTGCCCTCTCGGTTCCCCTCCTGCCCCCCGCAACTGGCCGAGCACTTCTCTCCCACCAAACACGATGACCTGCAGTGAAAGTTCAGCTGTCTTCCGCCTTCTAAGGTCATACGAGAAGCGCACAAGTGGCAAAGCAATCACTATTAAAGAGGACGGATCCGGGGCAGGGAAAGAGGGCTCGCACATGGGAAGAAGAGCGGGTAGCTCCTCAGACAAACAGGGTCATTAGCACTTCCAGAGGGAGTCTCAGCAGGGGGTCAGGACTTTGAGGGTTTGATCTCAGCGAGAGCGTCTGAAGCTGTGAAACGTGGGGGCAAACGCAAAACCGTGGGGAGGGCCGCAAATGGTAGAGCGATCACAGCGACTGCAAGCTTTGCTTTCAGAGGTCAGGTGGCTTTTTCATCTCCGCTAAAGGCGTTTGGAAAAAGTGACGTGGCGCACAATGGACGGGCGCTGTTGTAATTGACGGAGACCCGGAGACGGGTTAATGGTATTCTGCATGTGTTACACAAAGCACCTGGAAACAGACAACAGAGCAGAAGAAAAAAATTGAAAGCAGCAAAGATGTCTGAGAGCTTGTCCTAAGACAGAAGGATGAGGAATTGACCACAGTAAGCGATGGATGCAAAACTGTCAGTCCTAATAGGCAAAAGTATTGCAGTAGACTGCTGCTTCAGGAGTCCGGGAGAGAACGCTGCAATGATCAACACAGGGGAGCCAATTAAAAAGCAGACTCTGGCAGCCAACCACATTACCCACACCCTCATGTGACACTGGAAACATTTCAGAATCCACAGAGATGACTTTATATTTTATCTTTATTTTCTCTAAAATCGTACCCAGCATTTTCAGTCTTCACACTAGAGAATATCATCGATCTACGGTCTCCAGTTAAATCAATGAACAGTCTTATTTCTAACAGAACAACTTGCAGGAGTCCGGCCCTGGCTCTCGTTACAGTGAGAAGAGAGGAGTGCTGACATTACTTCAGTCTTCTGATAAGATGGCGAGCCAAATGACGAGGCCACTCAGGTGGAGGAGTTGAGCCTGAAATCTATTCTGACGATAACAAGTCTCACTGAAAGTTTCGTGATGCCGTTGCCCGCAAAGATCAAACACCATCGTTTGTTTCTCTCTCACACTCCTAAGACTGAGTTTGTCTTAGTTCTCGGTTGCTTTTTTTCTCACTAATTGGAGTGAAGACCCACAGATATGGGATGCAGGGAAGTTCATTCATAGTTGTCACTGGAAAAGCTGCAACAACCGTTGCAGAAATTCAGTGGTTCTCACAATCTTGTGGTATCACAAGATTGTGAGATCTTGATGATGCCACAAGATTATGTGGCATCATCAAGATAAGACAACTAGGTCTGCCAGGTGACTGGGAAGCAAACATGCTGGCACACTAAGTTCATTCTAAATGCAGTGGAGTTATTTCTGTGTGGGAACATCGGTGCTGAAAGAGTAACTATGCTTGGCAGGAAACTAATTATATGTTGTTTATTGTCGGCCAATCAAAGGGACAGCTCAAAAAAAGCTTGTTAGTTCGAGTGATTGAGGCAGTTTAACTCAGCAGAGAGCGTTAATGCATTTCTAACGTGACAGATCCCGAAACATGAAAAACAACGAAATAGAAACAAAAAGCTAAAAGCTTAAGTGTGACAAAGAAGGAAACGGAACAAAAGAAAGCAAAACTCTTAGTCACAAGACTGTATGTCTCTTAATTATTCACCATTCGCACCCCTCCAAACACTGGACATATTTTATCTCACAACTCATATTACGAACAAAGAATTAATGTGCACCATCTAAAATCAAATATATCTTTAATAAGATGTAAACGGAGAAACATGATTAAGGTTTTGAAAATGACACGGCCGTAGTCGGACATCACTGAGGTCTGGAAAAGTTAAAATCCTCTCTTGCTGCAGTACATCAGTCCAAGAAGGCAGCTGGTTCATCTATCACCATTTATCCCCTGCAGCCCTCCACTGCCATGCTTTAACATCTGTCAGACACCATGCTGAATATCACAGATAGACACAAAACTGTTCACAAAGCTGCAGCTTCTCTGTTTGATGACCGTTCATTGGAACACATGTAGGTCATTGAGCTTGTTGCAAGGCTGACATCTGCTCAAAACTTCATATAAATGCATGTAGAAAGTAAGGGTTATAGCCATTAAAGCTGTTCTACAATTGACAAACATGGAGGGGTCAAGGTTCAAGAAGTCAAGAGGTTGCTGTCAATCGTCACATTCGTCAGGAAATAGCTTCTGCACTCACATCTTCATCTGTTGTTTTGAGTTACGAGCAGCTCTGATGCATTGGTAAAACAAACATGGCTCGCATGCGACTTCTGGAATTCGAACAAAGGTTTAACAGGTCGTTGCGCCGCCAAAGCTCGGTCTCAATCACGAGTTAAAAAGATGAAAACTTTGGAAAGGCTTATGTTTGGTAAACATGCATGCAAATGTGTCCAGTAGACAATTTCCATCGGGATGGAGTTACCCAGAACTGAATTCCATCCGAATGAAAAACAAAAACACGTGTCATGACCTCCGGGGGAAGATATGAATCTGAGAGGTGGGGATGTTTGAATTATCGTCAGTGGGTGGCAGGAAGCTTCTCACCATGCACCATTTCAGGATTGTCCGGAAACGGCACGCAGACAGAATCATCTTCCCGGTGAGGGGGAATGTCAAGCTGCCGGGTTGAATTCCTTTCCCCTAGTTTGGAGATTGACCTCCCTGCCCTTTGCCCCACAAATCTTCAGGTCCACAGGTCCTTCAACTGTTGAGGACCAGGATGGCCATCACAGCTCGTCGAAAGAGATGAACAAGCGATTTTTCTTCTTCTCGTCATGTGTTCATGCGAGTCTTTAAACGTTTTTTTTGTTGTTGTTGTTGTTTTGCTAACATTCAGAAGCAAGCAGAACAACAAGCAGGCATCATGTAAAATTTCTCCCTGCGAGTATTATGGGAATGTATACAACCACACAACAATGTCTTTTATAAGACGTGTATATTATAATCCATAAATGTGACGTAGAGGATGAATACAGGGTTTTCAAATTTGTCTGAAATAGAGTGGAATGCATTTATCTATTCATCCCCCCCGGGTCCTTCCTTCCCCATCCCAGGCCACCTCCCTCCATCCACTCCATCACACATGCAGGGCCTTGGGGTGCAGGTGCATCACTAATGTATATGCCGTCACGTCACAACAAAACCAATTGATGTTGGTGGTCTTAACATCAGAGGAATCTTTTCAAATATCCAGGGCATAAAGACTTTTTGCAAGGCGCCGTATGTCTTGTTCAAAGGCAAACTCCTTGCTGGCAACCTTCCCTCACCGTTGCAGACATGTACATTTATCAAACTGTGAACTTTCGCTTTACTGTTACCTCTCTCCCACTCAATTTAACTCCCTGCAATCCCTCCCACTCACGCCTCCTCACTCTATTACCACGTCTCCTCTCTCCGTCCCTCACAGGGCTGCTCTAGTCAAGAGGATGAAACCGTTCCATCAGCGAGTGGCGCCTCTGCTGTCACTGGCATCAGACAGCTCTCGAGAAGGCCGTAATTAAACAACTCGAGCTCTGGTAATTACTCTACAGGGTCCATAATTACCCTATTCACAGGCTACAGGGGGGGAGGGGCTGACTACAAAAAAGTGGGAAATCATAAAGCTGCGCGCCAGTGTCACTGTGGAAAAGTAGGAAATGAGAACATAAATGCACACAAAAGGAGGATCATGTGCTGAACGCGTGTAAATAAAAGGAAAAACCTGGACAAGAGGTTTTTACTGAAACCTGCTAACTGAGGTTTACTTAGATTCAGGTGTAAGCAGCGCTTTGGCGGTCAAGATATAAGTACAGTACCTACTTTCTAAAACCACAAGACTAATGTGCCCACAGTAACTCCTTGAAACTTTACCAAAAGGTTACAATCTATCACTCCCATCATACAGCGTTCAGGTTTATATCTTACACAGATCAGCGCATCCCCTCTCTGTCTCAGCATTTTTCAGTACAAGAGGAGCATTGCTGCTCTAAGCATATAGCTCTTTTTCCCTGAGGACGTCCTGACTGGGGGTGGGGGATCAATGCTGCGCTCCAACAGACACCGCTGTGTCGATTCAGCACATGACCAGAGGCCCGAGGTAAAAGGCAAAGGGGGAAAAAAAAAAAAAAGTGACATCTCAACTAAGTCCGAGGAACTTATGGCTTCACATGTGAAGGTGATCTTTCTGCTATGGCCTCTAGAGGCCACAGTAGACGGGATCCATCCTTCGGTGGAACACTGCAGTACGACGAGGCACTGTAGGAAAAAAATATATGTTAAAGGCCGAAATGGATTCAGACAAATTCGAGTTATTACAATACATCAAAATTACACTCAGATTTAATTACACAAAATCTAAAATCAACTTGGCAGTGGAATGTAATCAAATTGAACTGATGAAGCAACTCCAATAAATATCAATTAATCTACCAAGGGAAGTCCAGATAATTACTTTGAATCACAGACTTTGGAACGACCGCTTGCTGTACGCAAACATGGGCTGACAGTAGAGAAGACGTGTAGTTTGAATATTTTTCTTGTATTCATAGCCCTTAGACCTCATCACACTTCATCACATTGCGACTAAACTCTAAAGCTTAATTACATTTTATTTGACAAACCAATAACAGAAGAATGGTGAATTGTGTAACAGTTTGCTTTTTTTTTTTCTTTTTTTTTTAAACGGGTATGTGAAAAATGTAACATCTATAGGCAATACCAACCTCTAAGTTGGTGATTATAAAACCACTAACTTAAACCCAAAGTTTTTGAGGTTTGCTGTAGCAGTTCTGCAATCCCTATTGAGAAATGTTTGCTGGCTGGAGGCAGGGACTTCGTTTAAAGTTTTAAATGGCTGGATCTGATTTTACCCGAACGCTAACGTTTGGCCTCGACATACGCAATGCACCAGCTTGATGAAGCCTGCCAGAAAGCGGGTGGACTATAAACAACCCTGTGGAGAGGAGGGCCATGACATCTTTGCCAGCAGTAAAATGTCTTAGGCATTCCTGTTCCTCCGACTTTAATTGCTGAATATTTGGAAGCGTGGCCAACACGGACTGAAAAACTTTGTTCACGTCCTCTACAGGCAGACGGCAAATTTTGAAAAGTCCAGAAAATCAAGGTCATTTAACACAACTCGTGCTCAATGTTAGCAAGGCCCACACAAAGTAATATGTCAGCAAACAGCAAAGGAGCAACTCAAGTATTTTGACAAAAAATTTAGTCCTACAGCAAAATGTTGTCAATTTGCAATTTCTAATATCTACTTAAAATTTCTGGAGGACAACACGTTGGGAAACATTCAAGAAATGCAGAAAGCAAACTCATTTTTTTTAAAAGGTAATCCGATTCATAAGATAGAACTGCGTCAACCTCCATTATGTTATTGTCCATCTTCATTTACATATTTTTTTAAGTACGTTCTGCGTTAAGTACGTTTTCTTTGTTGCTTCCTTGATTCAGGGAAGGATGACGTAGAAAAGGGATCCTGCACTAAGCATCAGCCAAGTCGCAGTGGAAACTGGGCAAACTTTTAATTTGCTACAAGATAGAATTTGTATGGAAACTATCCAGCTCATCCTTAAACTCAGTAATTAGTATCACCCGTTTCTTTATAATTCACTTGATGTGAAGAATAAAAGTTTCTAAGATCTGGCCTCTCGCATTAATATTAAACAACCTAATTGAAGACAAATTTATTAACAGTGAGTTTTCCACTGAAAAACACCGACTAGTTCACGCAGACACACCTTGTTTTTTTTTTTTTTTTCACTCCCACAAAGCAGCATCTTTAGCATGCATTTGGCATTACTTCTCATGTGTGCTGGAGGATCAGAAGGGGACATCTGCTGTGTGTTGAGTGAGTGAGGAGGACTATTTGAGGGAGCGTGTTGAGGACCCTGATTGATGTTGCGCACGGTGGAAAGTCCCTGCGGCCCCATTAGCAGCTACAGTCTACATTAGTGTCACACCAGTCAGCCATGATGCGAGACTGCTTCACTACCACAGCCATCAGTAACCTGCGCGGTCTACGACGTGACACTCGGGTATGAATGAATCGAATGCAACCCCGTCCCCTTATGAGCACCAGTGGAAACCAAAGACACGCTGTGCTTTAATGCAGCCTCTTGTGAAACTGCTCCCATTTTCAGCAGTTCACATTTGGCATTCATCAAACTCTGTGTATCGCCTTCCCAGTCTTGAGGTCGGTTCTCACTCATAACTGTACACTTGGGATTAGCAAAAGTTGAATTCTTGTCGCTCTCCTTTAGCTTATTTACATGAAAACAGACGGGGGTATCGTTGCTCCGGGCTTCCATGCTTTGTTTTCCTCGAAGTGGCCAGATGCAACGGTTCATCACTTCCTCTTTCTCCCCGGTGAAAAATGATACTGGCCTTATTCACAGGTGCACCGTGGATAAGATATGAATCACAGGAAAAGCTGTGCTTTAAAGGTCAACGTATACATGTGTGCTGAGCAACCGCACCCCAGAAAAGTTTTCAGAGAAAGAGATAGCTCAGTCTTGAGCATTCCCACAGCCTTCAGCATGACTAAGTTCCCCACAAAGCCCCAAGGACCATGCCATCTGTCAGGCTAATATTTTTTTTCCACCTCAAATAAAATGTTTCTGGTGCCATAAAAGCACTAGGAATAAGAAAACACTGTCCTATAAAAGGCTTCTCCTAAAACAATTAGCTGCAAACATGACAACAGCACTCTGATGTGTTTGTGGAAAAATGATGTATTCTTTCAATCTCATTACCCTGATCCCTCCTTTGCTTCCACGCTAGTTCCAACTCACAATGGAGTCGTTTGTAAAAGCCCGAGAGGGAATTTTAGTTGACATAATTATAATGATCTGTAACTCAACCAAGACAAACGAGCTCGGGTATTTAAAATTCCACACTAACTCGACTAAGGCGAGACGAAATGTATCACGTTATGACAAGACAAGCTCCTACTCAGAATCAACGGGGGAGAGGGGGATTATGAATTGTTAATAGATGAACAAAAACTGTGAAAACATTGTATTTACCTCTGAACATTGAACCTGACCAATGTGGAACACCTATGAAAAGAATCTGGATGAATACTTTTCCACTTTCACACTTTTAATGTTTTGTCTCATCTGTCTCAATGACAAGCTGCAATGTTTGCTTTAGGATTTTATGTCAAGAACAAACCCAAAGAAGCTCATAATTTTGAGGTGATAGGAAAGTACATGATTTTCACCTTTTTTTTTTTTTTTTTTTTTTACAAACTCAAATCTGAAAACCTGAAGGTGAACCTAAAGTTCAGTCAGAAGTATTTTTGATCCTCTCATAAAATGTCCTCTAGTTTTGCCCTGCATTTAGCTAAATCCACCCTCCCATCAACTGTATTTGTTGTATTTACAAATTCAGATCCATGTGCCAATTTGTCTTGAAATATAAAATATTGGCACTTAAAATTCAAATAAAAGACGTGCAAGATTGTGGTTGTAGCAGGACAGAATATGGAAAACTGCAAAGGCACTATAGATCCCACTCTATATATTGTCACCTTCCTATAATAATGGCCCAAGTCACTTTTTGCAAAAAGGAAGTTTGACAAAAAAAAGAGTAAAGAAAAGAAAAAAATACTCTCTTTTTGCCAAAAGATGAATTAGACAAAAATGTCATAGCAAAAAAAAAAAAAAAAAAAAAGACTTGGGCCAATATTTTAGGAAGGTGACAATTTGTGTCTTTTCACAATGTTGGCCTTAGTTTTGATTTGCTACATATAAACACATGCTGCTTCTGGTATTTCTCTGTGCGACACAAGGGAATTCATAAAATCAGCAGGAAACAATATATAAGGAGAGACACGGTTCACCTAAGCAAACTTAACTCCAGCTTTAACAAAGGGAACAAACTTTAAAGAAGAATTTTTTTTGTTGTTGTTTTTGACGTTAATCTCAACTCCACAGGGCTTCACAGTGGAAGCAAAGGAGGCCAAAGAAGTCAGGCCAATTATGCTTGCTGCATGTTTTGGAAGGATTTTCAAGTCCTGTAGCGGTTTCCTCTCATTTGCCAGCAGTTATTACTTCATTTTATTATAAAGAATGTTGTAAAAAAAAAAAAAATGCTACAACCACACCAGCCTTGTAACTACATAAATCAAATGTATTATTCAAGAAGAGAAACATTCAGGAAGATGGTCAGTAAACAGACACCTTGCTATTAATCAAAGAGATGCTAATCTTTCTCTTATAAACCGGCAGTAATATTGCTATTTGTAAAAGCAGCCAATGTCCTCTGAACACTCCTTGTTCAGAACACTGCTTTTTAACACAAACCACAGTTTGAATTATTGAATTTTAATTATCCGCACCATACGTGTTAAGCTTTGACAAATTGAATAGAAATGTTAATCACTCATTAATTTCATGTTTATGTTTGTGTACTGAACAGGAGGTACACAGCAGGGTTTTTTTTTTTTTGTTTTGTTTTGGCATCAATCACCAAGATCAACCTACATGGAAACACTGAGGTCTGGAAAGGAGACAAATAAATGACCA